TTGACACTTTCCCTCATGACAGCCCTTTCGAATGCCAATGCTCCTTGAAGTATTCCTTAAGATCTTTCTCGTAATACAATGTTCTACTACGTAAGCTACTGTGGTGAGCAATGAAAGCTATCAGTGTTGGTGAAAGGCAAGTTCTTGCTACACTAAAACACAAGTTTTAAAACGCCCCCGTTGTCTGTAAAAAATTCAGTGTAGGTCTTAAGATCCAGTTTCACCTTAAGTGCCTGAGACTCGGAGATGGTATTTCCTGGGGACATTGATCATATATGAGGCATTTTAAATGACACCATTTGGGATGAAACACAAATTAAGAGAAAAAACCAAAATTATTTAAATACCGTTAGTAGTCCAACCATCTGAAGGCTGTGGTGAGAAAAAAAGCAAAAATACCTCGGTTGTTATTCCAGCGTGAAGCCTCTCAATCTTACATGATCATAAGACATTTAAGTAGTCCCTTTGTAACCCTTCTGTAGCGTGCGAATCGTCCTAATTAGAAGAATATTTGACATGGTACGTCCTTAGAATTTCCCTCACCACACTAGTTGAGGCATAGATGTTGCCATCGGTGCATGTATTGTTCAACATTCGTTTCTTTGATCTCACCTACTAGATCGTGGTGGTGCCTGTAAAGACTAACTTAGCACAGTAATTAATCAATCTAAATTTTTGTTTTTTAGTTTCAAGAGTTCTGTCCTCTCCGCCGCACGGCCTAATTATCAACTTTACAACCGGTTGAAGTAAAGAAAAAGATCTTAGGAATCAGAAATTTCACTAATGTACACTCACCATTCCGCATCTTGTTTACATGCTGATAAGTGTAAAATGGACCCCCACAGCCGATCCAAATTGCTTATTGCATTAATAGGCAAGGTATCTCATATAGGTTGTTTTTCGGAGTTGAACTGTGCGTGCTACTAATTTAGGTAGTCAGTAGCATACAGCATAATCTTTCGATATTTAATCACACTATTAATTGTACGGAATTCTAATTCCTTTGCGGCCTTATTCTAAAGGTCCCCTTCATATTATAAAACGAAGGAGTGCAGTTCAAAAATAAATGCTTTTCATGAAAAGAGTTGTTTCCATAAAAGAGCCAAATGAGTTGGTCTAGCTGACTACAATTTCATGATGGCAGTCAATTTTGTTACGACAACTATTTTTGAGCTGCACATGAATTGTAGATGATTTTTGGACTCAAGATTAAACAATAAGCTTGTCTCAGGGTTGGGTTCAAGGCAACTTTGGTAACTTATAGAATCCGTGCTTTTCTGTTGATAAATTGGCAGTGGGTTCCATAGTTTTACCCCAGATTATGCTCCTCATTTCCATATGCCACTATTTTTAGGGCAGGTAATTACAGATCCAGAGACAGTTACGAGGTAGGAAAGAATTCACACAGATTGTGTGACTGGTGAATTCACCCATCTCTTCCCAATTACTCACATTTACCTGCCGCCTGCTTTTGTTACAACCCAGCAATCAAATCAAATTCACTCAGGTATCGTTACTACCATGAAGTTTTGGAATCACATTCATTCTACACAAATAGTCTATTACGCGGTTCTAAACACTCACATTGACAAAGGCTATACAATGCACACATAGAGTGTAGAGAGATGGAGAGATAGTCTAAACAATGAATGCAGAAAGTTCTGACGTATACAGAACCCTACCACAGTACTATTGTTCACGGCTGCAAAGACAGTGATGGCAGTGACGTTCAGCCTTACGTCTCATGCACTTCTGTGTCATGTTATTGACGTCGATTACCGTTACTTAACCGTCAATCATGAATTGTGACGACTTTTTGCTTTCCCGTAAGAAACAGTGTGCTACTACCTTCAATAGACTGCTGATTTTCTGCGCCAAATCGAATTCTCCAGAGGATTGCATTTGTGAAGTGCTTGTTTTAAAGTTCTGTGCAGCATTATGCATATAAATATGTTACGACCCTCTCCTCTTTCATTCACTAACTACCAGCAAACCACAGCTGAAAGTCACAAAAGTTGCGGCAGGTCTTGCAAATTGACAATTCTACATGCAGAAAAGCCACTTGTCATCTAGTTAATCTGATGCATTAATCCAAACTATTTTTTCTTGGCAGTGTCAGAAGGAGTAAGCACTTCTGGGCGTCGCTCTGAGGAGAAGCGGGATCCAGCAAATGGGAGATGAAGAGAACCTGACGTCCCATAATTTTGCCTTCAATTACTTAGCCTTGAATAACAAGTGCACCAAATTTCCCTTTATTCACACTTCGTTACTTTTAAGGGCTGAGTTAAGCAACTATTACTACAGCCCTGAAATATGTAAGTTATCGAATAGACTTTACTGACACTTACGTATATGCACTACAGAAAAAGTTTTTGTCTTTCATGATTGAACCGCTGGTCTGATTTGCTCCGTTTTAAAGGCCAAATCAGTAGAGGAGGCATGGTGATATGCAATACACAAATTGACATTCCTCTGGAATAAAGTATCAGAGAAGGGGTGGAAAGCATAACCCCTTTTCGATGTAGATCACCTTACAGAATAAGTTTCATCGATACACACTATGTGAAAGAAGTAGGGTCATTTAAGGTTCATTAAGGAGTTTGTTTCCTATAAGATGTGTGTCTTTGTTGAGCGATTAACTGAAGGATCGCACATTTAAAACATAAAGTTAACGATGGCATGAAGCTACTCTGTGCAGACCGAGAAGGCATTGTGAGAGGGGACAAGGCCATCGCGTAGGCGTCATAGATACGCTTAAAGCAGGTACTTTCATTTAACTAGCTTTAAAGTGAAGCAGTTTGGTATCTTGTTAAATGAGGTTGCCAGAGTCGTGGAGGGAGGAAAACCAAGCACCACTACACTACACCCATCCAATGGAAAGGCACTTATCTGCACACCGAGAGCATCTTATGTCTAATCTGTTGTTTTAAACTCAACCCTTCTGTTGAAGATATGATTTGGCGCAAGCAGTTACCACAGCCTGATAAAGAACGCATCACTTATCTGAAAATTGTAGTCTCAGTTAGGAAAATTGGATTGCCACAAATAGTCTCCTCTGGTTTCGACCCTGCTTTGTGATTTCGCCACTAAGGCCAGCTCAGAAAATGTGATGTTTGCTTCACCTCAATGATTTGCGATCACTTTAAGACCGCTGGGTCATTCTTACTCCAGTCGTTTAAAAAAACTGTCGGGTAAATTTACTTTGTTAGGATTAAAGGGAAGGTGTTTGGTTATTTTCAATTAAAAACACGGTGGGCATTGCAATCCTCGCCTCCCACCAATCGGGTTAAGCGCGACACCGCGCCGCCATTCAACAAGAGTGCAGTGAAGATCACCTGATCAAGTGACTCCAATTTCTTGCACCACCTCTGTGAGAATGCAGTTTTCCCCTAGCACCCATGACTGATGTCAACTTTGATCTCAAAAGGGGTTACTCAAAACCACCTGCTGCACTGAGTCAAAGGGATCCAATTCGACGACAGTCGAGTAACACTGCAAGTGTCTTCTGATGTACATGCTTTCCCTCTCTTAAAATGCATCGCATTGTGGCCGATTCCTTTCTTTCTTCTATTTCTCACCCCCTGTGATATCGAACAATATTGCTAGCTGTTTCGTTTGATATTATCAAGTGGTGCACTGCCGCATTGTTTCGCAACACTATTTATGTAAGCCTCAGTGTAACTATTACCATAGATGGCAGGGAGCAGCTTGCATAATGGTCTGGCACAGTCTCATGGCAAATTCGCCGCTGCACTTGTGTCGAAGTTGAGTGCCAAAAAACCACTTTGTAAATCACATACTCAAAGAAGTGGTGCCAGTGAGTTGAATTACTACCAGGGCACAGCACCAATTTATGATGTCTCCGAAGGCCTTTTTGGATTTGTTAGTCTCACTTTCTCGTCATGATTAGTCTGATAGAACTTATCAAGAAAATGTCTGTAGCAGACTCGATTTTAAGCGTACATTTGGAGTGAATGCCACGAATTTCGACTGTAGTATGTCTACTGATTTTTCGGAATCTTTCAAACAAAAGAGATGTAATTGTAGACCTTCCAGCTTACATTTATTTCAGATATCTCCAAATTTATATGTTTTTTGGCTAACTAACATAAGAAGTTGTCGTTTTACATAGCCTATCTCTTCCTGATGTCGTTTCGGTTTATTAATGGCAAGGTCCAGCTTAGCGGCGCTAACCTTCGGTCGATTCCCGGATCTTGCATCGAGGCCACAAAACTCAAAGTATCCACCTACCCGTAAATTTGACCTGGCTATATCTCATTCTATACTCCAATAACGTATCAACTCCAAATCTTTCCATCCTTGATTACAATCTATGTAGCCTAGTCAACATTGCAAAGCACCAGGAATGCTCGCCTGTGTTATTACTTTCAAGCTATTTTGGTCTCACAAGAAAACTCAACACAAGTCCTATTATTATGAACCACACGTGTACAGAATGTTTACTACGCCCACTACATTTTTGTCAGTACGAAACTGAGTACTCGGCATTATCGGTAGCCTTGAAACACTACGAAACCAGCGCATAATTGGAAACTGGCTTCTTCCGTGTATCGCCACGAATACGCTCAACAGATTGCAGGCTCTCGCAGGCAGAAAGTGAAAAGAGTCTACGTCTGGATTGACCTAAGATTGAGGCCTGCCCAATTGATAAGGTGCTCACGGTGACTGCCCCCCCTCCCTTCGGGTCATAACAGTCTATCAGTAGAATGCACTGACCAAAGGTAAACATTAGACATGGTGAGCAGGCTTGGTAAAATATACATTTTTATGTCACACAAATATACACATGCACATATACGTGCGTGTGCGTGCATTTCCAGCATGATCTCCATTCTCTCGCATATCAAAATAGGCAGTATTGAAAATAATCTCTCGGAAAGTAGGAAACCAAAGTACAAACAAGGTCAGTGTAAGTAGCAACACATGGCAATTGGACGGAGGCGATGACGGTACTGATTTTTTTGCAAAGTATACAAAATTTATGTGGAGAAGGAGGACGGAGGGAGCATTAGTTGAGTGTTCGGTGGGATGGTGGTAGTGGTGTTGCTAACGGTGGTGGAGGTGGATGAAATGCTGATCCTGCCACCAGAGCGGCAGGCTGGGCGTGCACGAGCCTCCCCCACCTCCGTCTTAGCAGAGGGGAGGAGTGGAAGAAAACGTAGAGGAAGGCGGAACCATACCGCGGGACAGTACCGTCGACAATGGAGTCCGCGGTGAGGTCGAGGTGGAGGAGGCAGCTGCGCTGGCTGCGGCAGCTGCGGAGGATGTTACAGCACTGCTGTGCGAGGAACCCTCATGGGTGCGCTTGTGCAGCTGCAGATGGTCGCTGCGAGTAAAGCGACGGTTGCAGGTATCACAGCCAAACGGTTTCTCTCCTGTGTGCTTGCGCTTGTGCCGGGTGAGCTCGTCAGACCGCGCGAACTTCCACGTACACTCAGGATGATTGCACACGTACGGCTTTTCACCTTGATTGGTTGGCAAAAGAAAGAGATACACACGTAAACTTATTTTTAATCATCTTTAAAGCTAATGGCCTAAGAGAGTGACAGATTCCTTACCAGTATGCGTTCGAACGTGAGCTTTGAGATGGGAGCTCTTAGAGTATCGTTTGGGGCATCCAGTGTAAGGACAGGCGTGGATGTTGACTTGCGGATAGTGGTTGGGAGATTGGCGTACTGTGCATGTGGCAGATCCAGAAGACGCATCTAAATTTCGCTGACAACTGGCGTTCTGCAAAGAAGACGCAAGTCCAGGAGACGAAGCGGTTTCTGGTGAAGACCAGTTCAAGGAGGCCCTTTTTCCACCCCCCTGCTTCCTCTCCGATGAACCGCTTTTTGACCGATATGTGGCCTGGCATTCCAGTAGTTGCGGTAATTTGATATCATCCAAACTGACGTTGTCGGAGAAGGCGTTGGAGAAATCATCAGTACATGTGTTAATTACCTCCTCTGACGTATTGATGGAGAGCACTGGCACTTCACCGCTCAAAATCTGGTCCTCTGCTTGCCCCTCTGAGGATGGGTATACAAAGTTCTCCTGGAGGCTGCCCATTTGTTGCTTCGGAGGCTGGTGAAGGGACAACTTCCGCTCCTGAATTTGGCGCGGTGGAAAGACCATACCTTGATTGGTATAGCTGTGCGCGCATTGCATTTCTTCCACAGGTCGATGAAACCCGTTGGTCATCTGCTTGTCAGGAGTGGGGCTCAAGTTTGTGGAATGGAGCTGCTGACTAATATCATCGTCGTCGTCCTCCATGAAAGATTTCATGAAGAATCCGCCTTCATCACCTTCGGGGCAGGAGGTGGGATTGGCGGAGTACACCACTTCAGTGGAATAGGAGCCTGAGACACCACCACTGTAAGTGGGGCTTACCTTTCGCTGGTTGAGATCGTAGAAGTGAGTGCACCTCACCGGTTGGGCATCGTAAAAGTTGTTCTGGTGAGCCTCTTGAGGCGGCTGTTGCTGTTGCTGCTGTGGCGTAGACTGGTGGTTAGGAGCGAGGTGGTGATGGTGTTGTTGATGTGACTGTGGCACTGAGGAAATGGGAAAAATGTTGTTGGCATTCTCCGCAACCACTAGTGAGGTGACATCAGGTTGAGGATTGTAGGGCAGCGAAGCGCAGCAGTTGTGTGTCTGTGCTGTCGGTTGCGCAGCCGTCGAAGACTGTGGTGGTGGTACAGGGTGCAGGTCCGTGTGCGGCTGGGCGTAGAAGTCATTGGTGGGCATATTCCAGCCCTCCTTATAGTAGACCTGCGGTGCTTGTCCAGTGCTTAGGGAACGGCCCCCCAGTCCGAGACGACTTGTGTTAGGCCGTACGCAGGAGCCCATGGGCGGTAGCTCTGCGAAAGTGGGCTGTATGGAGGGGTGCCTTGGTGCTCGTTCGGACATTGTCGCTTCGCAGGACGAGGGGCCAGAAATGTTTTGGGAGCAGTAGTAATTGAAATTGTGCGGTGATGTCTAATAGGGACAAACCGTAGAAGTATCTTCAGGGCATGGAAATTCATTTAAACGCGAGAAAGTTTTGGACCGCTATCATTTAACTTATTATTTAAGTGACATCATCGAATGATTTGAGCTCTGGCAATATTTAATAAAGAATTAGATAGCGTGATGGAATACACTGGGGATGCAGTAAATAAGTAATGGCTAAGTAAATAATTATTGTATTATGTTCCTTATTAAGTACTAAAAGTATTTACACAGGTTGCCACAGTGGTATTTAAACACCTAAATGAGATTTCAAAGTCATAGGTGAAATTCAAATTGGCAAATTACTAGTTTATATATCTTAGAAGACCACGTTCTTGAAAAGGGGCTCATCTGTTTAATTATCTGAACCTGTGAGGTATTAAGAGGCACCAAGATACTCCACCGCATAACATTGGCGGAACAAGCGGAGACCGACAATTTGCACAGAACGGTAAACAAAGGCCGAATGTTTACTCAACTGCAGGAATGCACCAACATTTGCATCCGCAGATTGGAGAGTTGGATAATTGAGACGGATACAAAAAAGACGCTGACGTTAAAATATGCACTTTTTAAAAGCTAAGATGGCGTGACGACGGCTGAAGTGTCTGGACGGCTTCTAGAAATGCACACTCTCCAACAGCAAGTTCATGGATCAATTGGCACAGCAAATGGGGCGTATTCTGTACCTGTTTGGACAATCTGTGACTATCTAGCAGGTGACTCTCTTTACACCTGCACTGATATGACTAGAAGAGACGCGAGATGCAGTTAATACTTATCTGCCGTCTGCCAAAAAATGTATGAGCCGACACGCTTCTCCCTGTAGCAAGACGACACATTTGTCATGAGATTACCAATAGCAGCCTATGGAATAAGCACTATGCACGGAAAGGTATAATTCGTAGTGAATTTTTGAAGATGTACTTATTTGAAAACACACTCTGTGCCGATTTCACAGGAATCGAGCTCGAATAATAAATATGCGCTGATACAATTTACTGATATTAACAATCTCCTAGTTCTCAGAGTAGTTTCTTTGTCTACTATTTGGGGAGAGAAATAACCCCTTCAAAACAACTTTTCGTTTATGAGACAATAGAGTCATGAGTTTCATAAATGAGCAAATCACTACCAATCACGTGCATGATTGCAATGGCTGGAGTTCACCAAATGCAGCAGGACTGGCAGTCGACTTAATTTGGCATTTCTCCTAGTGTCTTTAGGACTGAGGAATAGTAATGATCTTAGAAAATGGTAGTATATGCGTACATGCTGCTTGAGCAAATGAGGGATGAAAAATGACCTACCGGAAAACTGGTCATGCAGTGGGAAGCGTCAGGCGGAGCAGAAGAGGGATACAAACTGTCCACTAGGTTCTTGTAGTAGGTCTTCTCTAGGGAGCATGGCTCTATGTGCATCGGGATATGGGTGTAGGACTCGCTCATTTGATTCGAGTAGACAGAAGGGGATGAGCTGATGACGTACTTGGGTGGGGGAACACCCACCCCACTCTCCGACGCAAGGACATGGGATGCTGAGGTCACGGCCACGGCCAAAGTATCTTGAGTAACGGTGGTCTGGATGGTGAGATTGAGGCCCTGTGCTCCACACCCTCCTCTGCCGCTGCTAGATGACATCGAAGAGACCGGCACTGTGTCGCCGTGCGGAAAGTAGTCTTTCGAGAAATGCTGTAGTGCAAACGGTCCGCGGCTGACAGACATGGCTACTGCTCTTGTTTCTTGAAGCAAGACTTGCTGTTAGTGGCGTTGTAAAATCTAAGCCTCGAAAGTCAGTGGGAAGAATGAGCCTCCACCTTCCTTTTCCGGGGCTGTTCACATGAAGCAGACCGATCCTACACTGGTAGCATATATACAGTCCGCGCGGCATTGATATGAGGTGTACCGCAGCATCTGATTGGTGCGTTCATGGGGTGCGCGCCTGTGACGTGAGCGCGGGTACCAGCTGATTAGTGTTGTCAGCACATGTCAAATGGTATGCACACATATGCACAACTTGCACGCACGCACGCCTGCACTTCGTGCACGTACTTGTGTGTTTGTGCACGTGTGCGCACATGCCACCGGAGTGCTCGCGCGCCCTCCGTGCAGCCATCGATCGATGAAGCGAAGTGCATCGGTGTGCGCACGTGCGAGCGGGCACCCACACACAGCGGTGAGACGAATGCGAGGCCAGAGACGAGTGTGACGTCGTACATTGTTAGGGTGAGATAGTCGTATTGGCACTTTTTTGCGCTCAATACCTCTCCCTCTCCCACACCGTTCCATGCTGTGCAGCGCCACTGACGTCGCGTCGTGCAAATGTCAAAGAAAATATGCACGCACGTAGGTAGGTAGGTGGGATGGTTTACTGTTAAGTTACCACACCCCCGTTACTGCCTCGGCACGTACACAGGCATGCGTATCTGTCACACAGTCAAGGCTGCAGTACATTGCAGTCCTGCCACAACTCCAACATCACCGAAATGGCATGTGTACAGTTACAGCTGCTCATAGAGGAATGCGTTTTGAGGATTTTCGGCCATTCATTGTAATACATGCTATTAGTAGACATCATTGCGGGATTTTACTGATAGTCCCCGTGGTTAACGTCGCATAACCCTCGCGATAAGATTGCTTATGAGTAAGCAGATGCCAGATTCAACGGGACTAACCCAGATGTTGTTTGGAATTCAAATTACTGTTTTGCACCTTTATTCTCCCCCGTTAACAATGACGGTTTCGAGTTATGTAGAGGAGAAATAACATTATATTTATAATCTTTCCGCTATTTTGGATTTCCTTAGATCTGCACCAATCTATCTTGCTAGTACACTCTTTGCCCAGCAATCCCTGGCATCGAGATGTCGCCCTGACAAATTAAATATGCTTAAAGTAAGGTCATGTGATACGCAATGTGATTTCGTCTTTTGGTGAAAGTGTGTCTGCTCACAAAAGAGCAAAAGCTTGACAGCGTAGCTCAAGTTGTCGGAATTTTGATCCACTTGTATGCAACGCTGTAGATGCAGTTACTGCTGCAATTATTCAACTAACTGTCGGCACTCACCGTCATGGGATGGAGCACGCTGTCGTCACATTCTATAGCAATTTCACCTGCAGAGCTCCAACACACACACACACACACACACAATTCTTTTATTGTTCAGAGGATTTACTAACCACTTTTTACTTGGTGATGATGACTGGGATCAAAATTGTCGTCCCATTCTGCAAGTGAGATATGGTAATTTCAATTGAAGTTCTGTCACGGTTAACAACGTACTCGTATACGGGGAAGAAATGGTCCTTCAACTTGTGCCATGTACGGATTTCTTGACCGGAGAATGGATCTGAATACCCTCAATGTTAAGTTGAGGGATTTGGGTCTGTGGCTATTAAGCTTATCTTCCAATGAGCATACGCTTGGTGGTATTCATTGTTGATCGTCAGATGGAAACTACCCATTTCCCGGTTCTTTTTTGGGAATCCAAAACACTTTTTGAACAAACCTTGCTCTGTCTGTTACATCTTTCACATACTTCCTTAAACCCACTAAAAGAAGTCGACTGCCAGCGCTCCGGTCCGACCTGACTTTTGAGAAAAATATGTATTTCTTCGTCAGAGCGAAGTGTTACTAACCTCAGTGCAACCATATCTGAATACCGAAGAAGAAGAAGAAGAAGAAGAAGAAAGAGGAAGAAGGGGAGCAGAGGGAAGAACTAATCTAAGTAGCAATAGCAAACGTCAAACACTGGCAGTTTGAACAGTTTTAACATCACTGACGAATAGCCGCCGGTAAGACAAAGCGATAGGCAAACTTGCACAAAATATCACACTCGTTGAACTCGATTTGTGTGGTAGGGAGCAGGTATTGTTGGTCTGGTAAAATTACTTACTTTTCGATCAAATGCTAATAAAAAGAAGTTCAGCACCATGTCTTTGTAGGTTTTATCCATTAGAATAAGCGTGGTGAGTATGTTGAATAGTAGCCTAGAGACTTCTTGTGCGTTTCCGAGGTCAAAAGTGTTTGGGTTATTTGCACAAATGCTGAGACTGAGATAAGATATGTCTGTCCTGAGCATTGCGCGGCTGCCAGAATGTAAATTGCCGACTAGTTCTATATCATCTGTGGAAGGCATGTTCGTTTTTCCCTTGAAGGACTGAATGGCGCCTCAGCTGTTGCACACGACTCAAGAATTTACACATCAAGACTGGATACGCGTGCTATTCATTGGATGTAGATTCACTAAACGATTTTAACTTCCCTAAGTAAGGTGGGAATAAGAGTTTCCTTAATTTTCCCAGTCCTGTATATAGGAAAGTGAAAGGTTCAACAAAAGTGAATTTGTAACTACTTTGGCTACCTTCCACGGTGGAGTGGTTATGGAATTCAATGGGTATTTCACTTACCTGACTACCTAAATAGACTTCGCACATCGCCACTGTAAAATCCCCCTAAAAAACACGAGTTGTAAAGAGTCAACGCATGGACGAGGAAACAGGAGTCGCACAGTGCCCTGTCAGGTGAATTTGCTGATTGCGGAATTAATACTTAAAAATTCATTAAAAGTTATGATACACCATTTTTTACCCATTCCAAAAGAAGTCGTGTTAAACAACCATATCATGTTTTTTTAGTTGTATTAGATCGTAGTTCATAAGAATAAACTAGATGGGAAGTGGGTGACCGTTTTAACTAAAAGTGGGTCCTATTGGTATTTCAGGTCACCTTGCAGTGAAGGTATAAACAAAGCCTGCGTGAAAATCCCACCTAAAAGTATGCGGACACTTCGTAATTAAGCCAATGGTTGATGAAGCACCTTTGA